ATAGGGAGGAGAGGGCTGTCCTGGAGCTGGTGCAGGACTCTGGAGGCCTGGTGGGAGGGACCCAGCTGCATGAGGCCTGCACCACCCCAGCTTTCCCTCCACATTGGTCTGGAGTAAAAAGCAACTATGTTGGGTCAAAGAACTCAGCTGGTTGGCTTTGTCTTTGTGAATGAGAGAGATGCAAGGTATCCCCTAGGAGAAAGTCAACGGAACACCTCCCACCTTGGCTTAGGAGTCCAGTGGAGGGTGGGGGGACCTCCAGCTCTGCAGTAGGCCCTGGATCCTAGCCTCTGGGGCTGTTCCTCCCTCCCTTCCAGGGCCCAGAAGCAAATGGTGGTTCTGGCACTGGGACCGCCCATGACCCACTTTAAACGGAGCCAGGGCTGCCGCCCCTCCCCTGGGGGACCCAGCAGAGCAGGGGAGGGAAAAAAGGCAAGGCAGTGAAGTTGGCTGTGGGCAGCTCCCCAGATGCCCAGGCTCGTTTTCTTAGGGGCGCTCCCTTTCAGGTCTCAGAGGAGGACTCTAGGCCTGGGAAGAGGACGACTCCTCCCCGAGAGTCAGGCTCAGCCTCCAGCACTAGGGCAGGTTTTTACTCTCCCTGGTGTCTGAGCACTCCACGTTTGGTCTTCCACCCCCATTCCTGGGGCCATACTTTTCCAGTCGGCCCCAGACCCCTTCAGGGACAGAGAGAGAAGAGAGTATTCTTTCCAAAGAGTTTCCTCCGGGGTGGGACCAGGGCGGAGAAGCCAAACCCAGATCCCATCCCCCTTCTGGGGCCCTTCCTGGCCCCTCCCGACCGCACCCAGGCCCTTGCCAGGCTGAGTGGGTTGAGATGGCCCAAAATAAGAAGCTCATTAAATCCGTCTCCCACCTTCACCCCAAAATAAGAGAGAGAGAGGAAAAACCTCCTCAGACAACTCCCACGCAGCTTCCTCTGGGGCCCGGTGGGCCACCGTCTGGGCCGGGGTGGGGGTGGGGGTGGGGGGCGCCCAAGCCAGCCGAGACGTGTGAGGGCACCCCGGGCCAGAGCCTCTCCCCACTCCCCGAGCGACGCCCCCTGGCTCCCTGCAATTAACACAGAAAAACAATTAACAACAAAAAGGGCCTGAAGGCGCCGACGCGGGTGGGGATAGGGGAAGGCAGCGACCCGGCCGATCACCCGGCTCACAAGGAGAGCTTTGTGTGGACGGAAACGCGGCCAGCGCGCCGGCGCTGCGACCCTCGACGCCAGGGATGCGGGTAGGGGGACAGCGGGGTCCTCTCGGGGAGACGGGGGCTGTGGCCCTGGACGCTCGGCCGTCCACCCTCGACCCCCATCTGGCCGCAGACGCGTCCGCTGAGGGCCTGGGCCGCCCGGGGAGGCCGGAGCGCCCATCGGAGGGCGCGCCGGCGGGAGAGCGCTGGAGAGCTGGAAAGTCGAAGAAACAACAAACTCTCGCGCATGACGAGGAGCCGGGACAGCGCGGGGTTTGAGCGGAGTCCAAATGTTTACCAGGCGGTTCCAGAGCTGAACGCAGAGCCCAAGGGAATTGGGGAAGGGGGAGTCTGCCCCAGTTGTAAAGTTCTTCCAAGGACTGGGAAAAAAGAAGGAATGGGAAAGACAGTCGGCGGCGCAGGGGGTGGGGGCAGCTGGTTGGAAGCAGGCAAAAGTTGGATCGATCTGGAAGTTTGGAGACGAAGAGGAAAAAGAAAAGGAGGGGGAATCCTGCAGGCCCGAACAGCCGAGATCCCAAGAGCCCTCCTCTCCGAATAGAGGCTGTCCCCTTGGAGACCCCCGGGCTCGCCTCCCGGCGGGCGAGACTCCAGGAAGGGCCGGGGAGCTCACTTACTTCGGGACTGAAGGTGCTGCTTTGGGTCGAGCCGAGGGAGGCGAGCGCGGTGCCGAGCGTGAGCAGGGGGAGCAGGAGACAACGGGAGGGTCTTGGGGCGGGAGACATGGTCCGAGACCACCGGGTCAGCCGGGCAGTGTGGGCTCCGCGGCGGGGCCCACGCCCTGGGGTCGCACTGCCACTCCCTCGGGGCGCCTTTGTCTTCGGTAGCACTGAACTTTAATTCCTAGAGCGCTGTCGGCTTGGAATTAAGGGGATTGTTCCTGAAAGTGCCTGTTTGCTCTTCTCCTCTTTTCCGGTTTTTGATCTTTCTTCTGCTTAGTCGGCGAACTGGGGTCTGGATCCCTCTCGCTCTCTCCTCTGGTCCCTCCCTTTTCCCGCAGCCTCTCCTCCGTCCCCGCCCCAGTGCCCTCCTTTCCTGGTTGGGGACGTGGTTGTTTTAGCCTGAATCCAATTACAACCAAGAACTGGGAAAAAGAAAAAAAAAAAAAAAAAAACCCAACCCGCTAAGTTGCCTTTTTGTGGTGCAGGCTGCCATCTGCAGGGGTTGAGGCCACGGTGGACAGCAGGGGGCTGTAGGGGACCCAGGGGACGGGATGTGGGAGACTTTCTCCCCATAAGCATATTCTGAGTGGCTTGATTCCTCTGGTATTCAGCATTTGTCTCACCTCAGGGTGGAAATTATTGGGGGCTACGTGGCTAGGGGCAACAAGGAGCTCAAAGTGTGGGATGGTGAGGTCTTCCTCCATGCTCATGAGACCTGCATAGGGAGAAGGGGCCAGTTTACTAATAGTTGGGGGGTTATCTTCTGGCCCCTATAGACAACTGTCTATGTTCCTCCCTCCGCTGCCAAAAATTCCAAACTATAACCCAACTACCAACAAAAAACCCCACAACCATACTGGATCTGTGGCTCCAACCTTGTAGAAAGATTCCTTTATTGTCATTTGTAACGTGGCTGCACCTTTAATTGGAACTCGCTGACAGGAAAAGGGTACAAGGCCATGGGATCTGGGGAAAGCAAATCAAGCTGGGTGAAATTATTGTAAAAGAAGGGATTGGGAGTTGGGATGCTGGGGTTTAGTTCCACCTCTACACTGAAAAAGGAGGCAATTCTTAAAGAGTAAAATCTCCTTTAGGGACTTACTGGACTCAGAACAAAAGATGGAGGTACGTAGGAAAGGGAGAGGGCAGGATAAAGCTGACCGTGAGAAAGGGAGACAGATAAAGAGTCCGGAACTAGACAGATGTGGAAAAGCAGCACAACAGAAGCAGGAAAAGTGTGGGAGACAGAAAACTCGACTATCAGCGAAATCTAAGATCCAAGAATAGGCCGGGCGCGGTGGCTCAAGCCTGTAATCCCAGCACTTTGGGAGGCCGAGACGGGCGGATCATGAGGTCAGGAGATCGAGACCATCTTGGCTAACACAGTGAAACCCCGTCTCTACTAAAAAATACAAAAAACTAGCCGGGCGAGGTGGCGGGCGCCTGTACTCCCAGCTACTCGGGAGGCTGAGGCAGGAGAATGGCGCAAACCCGGGAGGCGGAGCTTGCAGTGAGCTGAGATCCGGCCACTGCACTCCAGCCCGGGCTACAGAGCGAGACTCCGTCTCAAAAAAAAAAAAAAAAAAAAAAAAAAGATCCAAGAATTGCATTTGGTCAGTGAGAGAGGACGGAGGTAGTGCGAGGAGGGAGAAGAAAGCAAAGGAAGGAATAAAGGAGGGTGGACAGAAATTAGGTCAGGTAGGAAGCTTCAGAAATCAAGGGATTCAGGAACTATCGCACTTCTGTGGCAGAAGAATGGAAGTCTAGTGCTCAGTACTGTAATGAAAACAAAGGTCTTTTGCTCTCAGATTCACGATCAATAAAATGAAAAGCTTTTCAGGTCCTGTGGAGCCTCCAGGTTTGTGGGAGGTATATGGTGTGTATTTATTTATTTATTTATTTATTTTGAGATGGAGTCTCGCTCTGTCACCCAGGCTGGAGTGCAGTGGTGCAATCCTAGGCTCACTGCAAGCTCCGCCTCCTGCGGTTCACGCCATTCTCCTGCCTCAGCCTCCCGAGTAGCTGGGACTACAGGCACCCGCTACACGCCCGGCTAATTTTTGTATTTTGGTAGGAAGATGGGGGGGTTTCCACCTTGTTAGCCAGGATGGTCTCGATCTCCTGACCTTGTGATCCGCCCGTCTTGGCCTCCCATGGTTGTGTTATTAAACAGTTACCTACCCCACAGTGACTGAGGGCTAAGCCCTTACGTAGGGCTTTCCTACACAAACTGGGGGTGGAAGGTACAAGCCCCTCTTCAACCAATCTCTGGAATACAGTCAGAAACATGGAGACCTCAGAACCCCACTCTTGGCAGAACATGCAACACCCAGGTATGGTTCTTCCCACATCAGCCTTCCCAGTGGGGGTAACCACCTGGACCACGTATTTGAATCTTAGGAAGACTGACACCAGATGCTTGTCAAAAAAGGGACCTAGACTAGAAAATTTTTTTTTCTGTTTTTTGAGATGGAATCTCACTCTGTCGCCCAGGCTGGAGTGTAGTGGTACAATCTTGGCTCACCACAACCTCCACCTCCTGGATTCAAGTCATTCTCCTGCCTTAGCCTCCCAAGTAGCTGGGATTACAGGTGTGTGCCGCCACCCCTGGCTAATTTTTGTATTTTGGGGGGGGGGGGGGGGGTGTTCACCATGTTGACTGGGCTGGTCTTGAACTCCTGACCTCGTGATCCACCCGCCTCAGCCTCCCAAAGTGCTGGGATTACAGGCGTGAGCCACCGTGCCCGGCTGAAAATCTTTTTCATGAAAACATTTATTAGATGCCAGCTGTACATGGCCTAAACTGTATGGGCTCTTATAAAGGCTTGAGTGCCTGGCTAGAACCAGGAAAACTGCTGTCCCCTTTTCATGTGCACAGAACAGCTATTTCTCATAGTTGGGCCAGTCCTATGGCCTGCAAAGGAGGTAAACATTTTAAAGTAAGACTTAGCCGAACTGGAATGGAGCCAGAGATGAGGGCACTAAGCCAAGCCTCCCAGGCAGTGATTTAACAGCTTGTTCTTGGTGTCCCAGCTCTTTTGCTTTGGAGACAGATGGGGAATGTGAAGGCTCTCTTCTGGGTGGGATGAAGCATCTAGGTGACAGAAAAGAAATCCAGAGAGAGGCTGAGGGAGGCAGGAGCTGCTTTTTATTGACTTGGAAGTGGGCTCTTTAGTGAAGCCCCTTTGGATTTAAGAGCATTTTCCTTCTTCCTTTGTTCTTCCTGCAACTTCTGCTGCCTGAGCTGCCATGCTTGTAATCCAGTGTCCATTTCCTGTGACAGCAGTACAACTCGTCTCTGAAACAGACAGGAAAACAGTGTGGATAACATCTGGGACTTAAGCGCTACACTATATATACTTCCACTTACAAATTCAAAGGTTTCATCTGGAAAATGACACTGCTGACTCCCCAGTGGGAGCAAGTCCTGGCTTGGGAAGCAGAGGGAGACAGCAAAATGCGCAGCAGGATGTCTACTACTGGTTCCTGTCCTGGCAGTGCCCCACTCTCTTCCTCCCTTCTCACACTGCTATTAAAACCTTTGGCTGGGGCCAGGCAAGGTGGCTCACGCCTGTAATCCCAGCACTTTGGGAGGCTGAGGCAGGCGTATCACCTGAGGTCGGGAGTTTGAGACCAGTCTGATCAAAATGGAGAAACTCCGTCTCTACTAAAAATACAAAATTAGCCAGGCGTGGTGGCACATGCCTGTAATCCCAGCTACTCGGGAGACTGAGGCTGCAGAATCGCTTGAACCCGGGAGTAGGAAGTTGAGGTGAGCTGAGATGGCACCATTGCACTCCAGCCTGGGCAACGAGCGAAACTCCATCTCACAAAAAACAAAAACAAAAACATAAACAACCTTTGGCTGTTATTAATAAAACCTCTGCATGAGGGGTACATGTTTGCTTAGGTGCAACACAGCTCAAGACAAATTATGATTTAAATGTTCTCCTTCCAGGTAGCCCTGGCTGTTGCTCTAGCCACTCACTGCAAACTTCTCCCTTTCAGCTTTTCTTCGAAGTTGGCCTTTCATTGGGGGAGCAGGGCGGCCATCTACAAGTAGAAGTGAGAGAAAAGGCAAGTGTTAGAGACGGTCTGCAGCACCTTGTGCAAATACTGTGATAGGAATAAGGGAAGAACCAATCTCTAGCTCCTCTCTTCCATTTCATATACACTGTAGCTTAATTAAGCTAAAATACGTCCCTCATCTTCAAGGGTAAGGTACGATAACCCAGAATGAGCTCTTAGGCATACTACTACTACTCTTTTTTTTTTTTTTTTTTTGAGACGGAGTCTCGCTCTGTTGCCCAGGCTGGAGTGCAGTAGCCGGATCTCAGCTCACTACAAGCTCCGCCTCCCGGGTTCACGCAATTCTCCTGCCTCAGCCTCCCGAGTAGCTGGGACTACAGGCGCCCGCCACCTCGCCCGGCTAGTTTTTTGTATTTTATAGTAGAGACGGGGTTTCACCGGGTTAGCCAGGATGGTCTCGATCTCACGACCTTGTGATCCACCCGTCTCGGCCTCCCAAAGTGCTGGGATTACAGGCTTGAGCCACCGCGCCCGGCCTTACTCTTTCATTTTATTTCATTTATCTATTTAGTTTAGAGAGTCTCGCTCTGTTGCCACGTTGGAGTGCAGTGGCGCAATCTCAGCTCACTGCAACCTCTGCCTCCCGGGTTCAAGAGATTCTCCTGCCTCAGACTCCTGAGTAGCTGGGACTACAGGCATGTGCCACCATTCCTAATTTTTGTATTTTTAGTACAGACGGGGTTTCACCATGTTGGCCAGTATAGTCTTGATCACTTGACCTTGTGATCCACCTGGCTCGGCCTCCCAAAGTGCTGGGATTCCAAGCGTGAGCCACTGTGCCTGGCCTTTTTTATTTTATTTTTTATTTTGAGACAGACTTTTGCTCTTGTTGCCCAGGCTGGAGTGCAATGGCATGATCTCGGCTCACCGCAACTTCTGCCTCCCGGGTTCAAGTGATTCTCCTGCCTCAGCCTCCTGAGTAGCTGGGATTACAGGTGCGTGCCACCATACCCGGCTATTTACTACTCTATTTCACTTAACTCTCATTAGCCTTGTATTTGAGGTCCTCTGCAATGCTGAATCTGTTTTGTCTTCAGAAATTCTTAAGCAATGTGATCACTGTTGTACCATGTCTCTTTGCTAAATTCCATCCCACTCCACAATGAAATGCCCTCTTTTCTTTTTCTTCCAGCCAAATTTTCATCCTTAGGTCCACTCAAACCCTAACTTTCCCAGAAACTCTAATCTCTTCAAATCCATCAGCCTTTTCTTCTGAAAGAAGTGCTATTTAATATTCACCTATTTGCCTTGGGACATTTACTGTACTTTTTTTCTTTCAGTGTTATTTAGCTACCTTAGGTCCTTTTGGAAAGGGGCAGAGTACTGAAATACTATTATTTATTATTATTATTTTTGAGACAAGGTCTTGCTCCGTCGCCCAGGCTGGAGTGCAATGGCACAATCTCAGATCATTACAACCTCCACCTGCTGGGCTCAGGCGATTCTCCTGCCTCAGCCTCCCGAGTAGCTGGGACTATAGGCACATGCCACGGCGCCTGGCCCTGAATACTATTACTTAATTTTTAAAACGTCCACGCTTTGTCCTAGTTAGACTTTAAGTTCCCTGGGTCAAGAACTGTATCGCTAGCTTTTGCTATTCATAGTATAGTGTAGGCACATAAGCATGTTAATAAACATCCACAAATATCTGCTGACTTGCTGAAAAGATGCAGTATCTGACCCAAGTAGTTTACTTTCTGCAAAGAAAGAAACAGAGTGAAAACTCTGCCCAAAAGTCTGAAAGCAAGACAGAGAAGAGGTGATATTTATCAGGAAGGGGAACCAATATTGTGTATGCCACGTGCTTTACATTGGTTGTTTCATTTTATCCTTATAAGAACCGTATGAGATAGGTATTCTTTTACAGATATGGAAACTGAGACTAAGATAAAATTAAGTAACTTGTCCAAGACCACAAAGTTAGCGAGAAGGGAAGCCTAGATTAAGAATAAGGTCCACAGGCTGGGCGTGGTGGCTCATGCCTGTAATCCCAGCACTTTGGGAGGCTAAGGGGATCACTTGAACTAAAGAGTTCAAGACCAGCTTGGGCAACATAGCAAGACCTTATCTCTACTAGGTGTTAAAAAAAAAAAAAAAATTAGCCAGGAATGGTGGTGTGTGCCCGTGGTCCCACCTACTTGGGGGGCTGAGGTGGGAGGACTGCTTGAGCCCAGGAGATCAAGGCTGCAGTGAGCGATGATCATGCCACTGCACTTCAGCCTGGGTGACAGGGAAAGACCCTATTTCAAAAAAAAAAAGAAGCAGTCATATATAATTCCAGAGTCTTTCCAACAGTCCATACTCCTACAAGGAGATGCCAAGCTTCTTACAGTAAATAACAAGTGGAAAAAATCTTCACCATCTTCCTCAGTCACCAATTATCCAATTAAGCAGGATCATACTCCTAGAGAGCAACAATAGGGGATTAAATATTCAGATCTCTGTGTTGTCAAGGAGGACTGGCCTATGTTTAGTCCTGGCTTTGCTACTACCTAGCTGTATGATCATGGGCAATTCACTTCTGTAGGCCTCAAATTTCCTACTTGTACACTGGAGTCTCATAAGAAGAATGGGGAGTAGCTTCAACTTCTCTAAGGTCCCTCCCTTCTAGGGCTAATATCTACTCTCCCCCACCCCTCTCTTTTGTAAGTAAAGGGAAAATAATTTTCTGAAGGGAGCCTGCCATCCGTAGTCTTCATCCTTCTACCCCTCTGAGATGTTTATTTCTGTAGCTTTTCAAAGAGCTCCCCCTCCATTTGGTACCAAATACTGAAAATTCACTAACCACACAGAAAAGTGGTTCTTGGTTAAAAAAAATAATGTCCCCCTTTAAAAAACGCAGAAGTCTTGTCACCCGCTTCCACCCTGGCGGCCCCAAGTCAGAATTATCTTCTGCTTATCTCCACAAGTCAAGATCCTGTTTAGCTTTACCTTCCTTAGTTGAAGTGTAATCTACAAAATAAACACGAGGGATTCCCCAAATTCCGTTTTCCAAATAGAAAGTTCAACACTTTTACACGCCCCCACCTTGATACCCCCAGCTCCCCGTCCAGGGGCGTTCCCTCTGGGTGAAAATCTCCCCAGTGGAGTTAACTGTCAGATCAGCGCTCACCCGCATATGACCAGTCTGGGAGGTCTGTAAGGGGCCCGTAGCCGGAGGGGTTGGCAGCCAGTCCCTGCCTGTGTGGAGAAAAACAGATCTGTGAGGACCCAGCCCGGCTTCTGGTCCCCCAGGACCCCTCATCCCAGCACTCACTGTAGTCGCCACTGGCTGCCCGCCCAAGCGGCTGCGCCGCAGTGCAGCCTCCGGACACCTGCTGGGAAAACAGAACAGAGCTGGGGGAGAGGCCGCGCAGCCGGATCAGGGGTCCTGTGTCCCTCCCCAACGCGCCTCAGAGTCCACGGTCAGTATCTATACCCACTCACTGAAGAGAACAGTCGCTAAAGCAGCCATGCTGAGCCGGAGTCGCCGGAAGTAGGCGTGGCCTCGGTGGCCACGCGCGACGCTATGGGGGAAGCTGGAAGTCGCCATCTTGAATCTGGGTTTTCAATCCCGGGCTCCGCCATCTTGGGTCATCGTACGGAAGGAGAGACAAAACTGCGATCCAGGTTTTTGAGGTGAAAACGAATTGTCGTTCAGGGCATGCATTCTCAGTAGAAGTCGTGTCCTCCCAGATTAAACCGTTCTGAACAGTTCCCACAATCTCCCTACAGCGGTCTCTAGTTCATCGAAATTGATATTAATAGTAACTTTGATCTCAGAGGAGTAACATCAACGTCATTCTACAGATCCTCGCATCACTGTAACACAGTTTTCCTAGACTAAGAAAAGTAATCAAATCTAGAGTTAATCGGAAATTGGGCCAGCCTGGGCAACATGGCGAAACTCCCTCTCTACAAAAAAATGAAAAATTAGCTGGGTGGGTGTGGTGGTGCATGCATGTGGTCCCAGCTACTTGGGAGGCTGAGGTGGGAGGATCGCTTGAGCCTGGGAGGCCCAAGGCTGCAGTAGGCAGAGATCACGCCACTGCACTCCAGTCTGGGTGACAGAGCCAGACCTTGCCTCAAAAAAAATTACATATGACAAGTGCTGTATTAGGTGTAGGAGATTTTATGGAGAATAAAACCAGACATTAATATCCTGATAGAGCTTTCGGAATAAAAGAAAAAAGACCGGGTGCAGTGGCTCACATTTGTAATCCCAGCACTTTGGGAGGCTGAGGTGGGCGGATCACCTGAGGTTGGGAGTTCGAGACCAGCCTGACCAACATGGAGAAACCCTGTCTCTACTAAAAATACAAAATTAGCCAGACATGGTGGCACATGCCTGTAATCCCAGCTACTCTGGAGACTGAGGCAGGAAAATTACTTGAACCCGGGAGGCGGAGGTTGCTGTGATCTGAGATTGCGGTGATCCGAGATTGTGCCATTGTACTGCCTGCCCTGTAGAGCATCCCTGGCGGGGACTCTGGCCAGATTAAGCAATGCGGATCCTGAGAACGCTCCTGGACACTGGATTAAAGAAGGAAGAGGTTTATTCGGCTGGGAGCTTGGCTTTTAAGACACAAATCTGCTGACGTTCCCGGCCGAATAAACCTCTTCCTTCTTTAATCTGGTGTCTGAGGAGTTTTGACTGTGGCTCATTCTGCTACAGTACTCCAGCCTGGGCAACAAGAGTGAAACTCCATCTCAAAAAAAAAAAGAGACAATCAAATGATGACATACATTAATACTGTCATTCATACGTTAATACTGTCATTGAGTGCTGGGAAAGGAAGTACATGTTGTTTATGAGTTTATAGTGTGAACTTGATCTACAGTACACCATCAAAGATGACTTTCCTGAGAAAGGGGTATTGTATTGGAGCTAAGATGTGACATTCCATTTTTATAAGTGCTACTGCCACACATTGGTTAATATTATCCTTGCAACAACCCTGTGAGGTAGGTACTAGAAAGTGGCAAACCCTCATTGGTGACTCCCTTCCTTTTATCACTTGCTATTCAGTGATGTCTTGGAGAAGTTATTTATCCTTCATTTTTAAATTTTAAAAATGCTTAATATGTTACATTTGTGAAAACAGTCTAAAAGTGATAATGTGAGTGAAAGTGCTTTATAAATCCTGAAACTCCTACAAAAGAGCCCATTAACTGTATGCCAGGTGTGAAGGGAAAATATCTTGGGCCTCTTCAAGCTGAGAACCTGGGAACCACAGAATTGGAGGCAGATTTGTGCCTCCAATTCTATTCAAAGTCATCTCTCTGCTCACAGAGATAGATGCATATTCTGATTACCTCTTCTGGAAAGACTTATCAGAAACTCAAAATAATGCAGCCATCTGTCTCTCACCTACATGTGACCTGGAGGCCCCCAGTGAGGGGGGACCTCGCTTTGAGCTGTCTCTGCCTCTCTGGACAGAACAAATACTAATGTACTTCTTACATTTTGATGTCTTCCTAAAATGTATAAAACCAAGCTGTGCCCGGACCACATTGGGCACATCTCTTCAGGACTTCCTGAGACTGTGTTACAGGCGTGTCCTCACCCTTGGCAAAATAAACTTTCTAAATTAACTGAGACCTGTCTCAAATTTTGGGAGTTCACATTTTGGTAACCACAGGAGAATTCTGAGTGGAGATGCCCTTAACCTTTAAAAAAAAATCTCCTATTGTCTAGGCACGGTGACCCATGCCTGTAATCACAACACTTTGGGAGGCCAAGGCAAGTGCATCACTTGAGGTCAGGAGTTGGAGACCAGCCTGGCCAACATGGTGAAACCCCATCTCTACTAAAAATGCAAAATTAGCTGGGCACGGTGGCTCATGCCTGCAATCCCAGCACTTTGGGAGGCCAAGGTGGGCGGATCATGAGGTCAGGAGATCGAGACCATCCTGGCAAACACGGTGAAACCGCATCTCTACTAAAAATACAAAAAATTAGCCTGGTGTGGTGGCGGACGCCTGTAGTCCCAGCTACCCGGGAGGCTGAGGCAGGAGAATGGCATGAACCCAGGAGGTGCAGCTTGTAGTGAGCTGAGATTGTGCCACTGCACTCCAGCTGTGGGCGACAGAGCGAGATTCTGTCTCAAAAAAAAAAAAAAAAAAAATTAGGTGTGGTGGCGTGTGCTTGTAATCCCAACTACTCGGGTGGCTGAGGCAGGAGAATAACTTGAACCCGGGAGGCAGAGGTTGCAGTGAGCCAAGATGGCGCCACTGCACTCCAGCCTGGGCAACAGAGCGAGACTCCATCTCAAAAAAATAAATCTCCTATTGGTGTTTGGTACCAGCATGAGCTAACTTTATGGCTCAAACCAATAGGGCAATTTGCTGAGGTCTGAGAGCACCCCCTCCAGAGAATCCCTGATCTCCCAAAATTTGGTTGAGATCTAAAGTAGTTTATTTTGCTGTACAACTCCTTTTTTCTTTCTTTCTTTCTTTCTTTCTTTTTTTTTTTTTTGAGTTTTACTTGCTTCCTACAGGAAGGTAAGTTTTCCTCTTTCCATGAGTTCGAACTCACTTCCAACAGAGAAGATGAGTTGTTTTTTTTCCTGCTTCTAGGCTGGTAGAGAGCAGTCTACAGCCTGTGACCCATCACTAGGTAAGAAACTGGTTTGGCATTTTTGTTTTGCAAATTCCTTTTAAACGAATAAAGTTAGCATTTAACAGCCAGCTAGTGTTAATTTCTGCTTACACTTAGAGCGCTCAGAAATCATATAATTTGTGTGATCACTGTTAGTTTAGTAGCATTTTATCATAGCTGAAATATGGTAATGAGATTAAAAAATTTTTTTTTCTTTTGTTAAGGAGCTCAATAGTTAAAAGTCAGCTTAATTAAAAGGCTAACATCCAAGATGTGTGTCTGTATGCATGCATCTGTGCATATTTGTATTTAAAAGGCTTTCAGTAGGCTGGGCGCGGTGACTCACGCTTGTAATCCTAGCACTTTGGGAGGCCCAGGCGTGTGGATCACAAGGTCAGGAGTTTGAGACCAGCCTGGCCAACATCGTCAAACCCCGTCTCTACTAAAGATTCAAAAATTAGCCAGGCTTGGTATCGCGCACCTATAGTCCCAGCTACTGGGGAGGCTGAGGCAGGAGAATTGCTTGAACCTGGGAGGCGGAGATTGCAGTGAGCCAAGATCGAGCCATTGCACTCCAGCCTGGGCAACAAGAGTGAAACTCTGTCTCAAAAAAACACAAACAAACAAAAAAAAACTGAGATAAGATTTTTTTTTTCTTTTTCTTTCTTTTTCTTTTTTTCTTTTTTCTTTTTTTTGAGATGGAGCCTTGCTCTGTCACCAGGCTGTAGTGCAGTGGCGGGATCTCAGCTCACTGCAACCTCTGCCTCCCAGGTTCAAGTGATTCTCTTGCCTCAGCCTCCCTAGTAGCTGGGACTACAGGCATGCGACACCATGCCTGGCTAATATATATATATATATTTTTTGAGACAGAGTTTCACTCTTGCCACCCAGGCTGGAGTGCAATGGTGCAATCTTGGCTCACTGCAACCTCCGCCTCCCAGGTTCAAGTGGTTCTCCTGCCTCAGCCTCCCAAGTAGCTGGGATTACTGGCACCCGCCACCATGCGTGGCTAATTTTTGTATTTTTAGTAGAGATGGCGTTTTACCATTTTGGCCAGGCTGGTCTTGAACTCCTGACCTTAGGTGATCCATCCACCTTGGCCTCTCAAAGTGCTGGGATTATAGGTGTGAGCCACCGTGCCCAGCCTAATTTTTGTATTTTCAGTAGAGATGGGGTTTCACCATGTTGGCCAGGCTGGTCTTGAACTCCTGACCTCAGGTGATCTGCCCACCTTGGCCTTCCAAAGTCCTGGGATTACAGATTATAGGTGTGAGCCACCACACCCAGCCTGTATGTGCTTTTTTTTTTTTTTTTTTTTGAGACAGAGTCTTGCTCTGTGGCCCAGGCTGCAGTGTAGTAGCGCCATCTCGGCTCACTGCAGCCTCTGCCTCCTTGGTTCAAGCGATTCTCCTGCCTCAGCCTCCTGAGTAGCTGAGACTACAGGTGTGCGCTGCCATGCCCGGCTAATTTTTGTATTTTTAGTAGAGACGGGGTTTCACAATGTTGGTCAGGATAGTCTTGATCTCCTGACCTTGTGATCCGCCCACCTCGGCCTCCCAAAGTGCTGGGATTACAGGTGCAAGCCACGGTGCCTGGCCTGTATGTGCTTTTAAAGTCCTTGTGACATTGAGTTACAGGGGTCTGACTCTTGGGTCTAAAAAGGACATCAAATCCTGCTAAATCTTAAACACTGACAACAATTAAAGCCTCATCTTCAAGCCCCATAGAACATGCAAATCAAAATAAACTGCTTTCCTGAGACACAGGGCCTGAAATTAAAGTTATTCAATTCCTCAAGGCCCAGGGACTATTGTGGAAGAGGTAGGCATGTAAGATTGTAAGAGCCAATTTTGAAATGTGAAATAAGTTCAGCTTCTCTATAAATATCATTAGTGTCAAAGACACACTGATGCAAAACCAGTATATGGACCCTGTGTCAGATTAACAAGGTTTTCTTGCAGCTTTAACCAACTCGTTAATAAAGGTTATAAAGGTTGTAAAAGGCTTACGGAAGTTACATTTTATAATCAAGATTAAATTTTATAGATTGTTTACAAAATTTTGAAATCAAATATAATTGACTTCATGCTGTTTTCATTAGGCCTTCTTGTTTAGAAAATTAAGTCTCCTCTCTCGAAGAATTAAGGTTTTTGCTTTTTTTTTTGAAATTCTTGAATTATCACTTTGGTTAAATAAATGACTTTACAATGACCTGTAATCCTACTTTATAATATCA